TTTGCCAATATCTATCGAAGATATAATTCTCTTATCGTGAGAATATGAATGATCGATCAAAATCCTTAAATACGATGTAAAAATTTGTCAGAACGAATAATCTTTTGATTTAAACATTACGATCGTTTGATCGATCATAATCAACCTATGTATACATGTATATATATATATATATATATATATATATATATATATTATTTATTATATATATATATTATTTATTATATATATATATATTATTTATTATATATATATTATTTATTATATATATATATTATTTATTATATATATATTATTTATTATATATATATATATATATATATATATATGTGACAATTAAAATTTCATTAACGATTCTAAAGAAATACGATCGCAAACGGATATCAATATTATTTATTAACCTATTTTATTTTGACATAATAGAGATCGATTTTGTGAAATTACAAACGTTCTAAGCGCAACTAACAATCACAACAATTTCATATTATTCGCCGTATTACGGATGGTAAATCATCGTCGTCGTTAAACTTTGATTCGCCTGTTTCCTCTAGCCAACTTATTTCCTCTTACTTTAGAGTTAGCTGCTTCCGTGCAACTATCGTCGTTTATTTTTTTCTCTTCCTCTCTTTTCTTTCTTTCTTTCTTTCTTTATTTATTTTTTTTTCTTTCTTCTTCTTTTTTTCTCTTCTGCTCGAAATTCTCACAGAACGAACGGCAAATCCTATTTTTTTTTTCTTTATCCTTACTCTCGCAATAGTACAGAAAACGGTATAAATGAGTCAATTCTCCTTCTGACAAGTTTTCCTTCTTTCTCTTTCTTTCTTTCTCTTTCTCTCTTTCTCTTTTTCTATTTCTCTCGTGGTAATCACATCGACTGCACGTCATCATCGTTGGGATCCTACTCGTTCTAGCTTATTCTATTTCTCTCCCTCTCTCTCTCTCTCTCTCTCTCTCTTTCTCTTTTTCTCTGTCTCTCTGTTTTTCTCTGTCTTTCTCTTTCACCACTTCCACCTCCTCTACTTTAGTCTCGAACATCGAGACGTAGAACGGTCTGATTATACGAGGGGACGGAAGTGATTTTTATCCATGCAAATTTGTGAGAATAAGGAAGGCTGACCTATTATACACCCAATATTACGTATTGCGTCGCAATTTCTTTTCTCTTTTTTCTCTTTTCTTTTTTATCTTCTTTTTTGTTTTCGTAAGAAATCGAAAAAAAGAAGAAAGAAAAAAAAAAAAGAAAAAGTAGAGATTGTAACCCTATCAGTTGTTATCAAATATCGCATTAGTCATGTGCGTGTGTGTGCGTGTGTATTTCTTTTTTCTTTTTTTTTTTTCGGAAGTAGAAAAAAGTTTCAAAAAATTTTTCGTTTCTTTCATAAAATTCTTCCGTGTAAATATTTCGTCATAATTATCGATCAATCTCATTTTTCTTGTCTAATAGTTTTAAATGAAATATTCAAGAGAGAAAAAGAGAGAGAGAGAGAGAGAGAGAGAGAAAAGAATAATTTAAAACTAAATATTTGTAGCGATAACGTATTTGATACGATCAATTGTCACATCGAACTATAATACGTGCGTTATCTCAATGAACGAAGATTAAAACTGTATTATTGATAGGAAGATAGTAAAAAATTATCGATTGCTTTTAACGACGTTTCTTACATTACATAGATCCAATCGAGACTTCGAGACGCATTAGCACAAAGAAAAAGAAAAATAATCGAAGTTCATCGATGTTCGCTCGTGACCATATTTAAAATTCGCATTTAATCAAAGAATTTTTGTTCGATTAAAAATTCTATTTTAATTGCGTTATAATAATTAGGTTTTTCTTTATCATTATTATCAATTACTCTTGTATAATTCTTATTTTTTATTTTTTTTTCATCAAACAATTTTTACTCCATATCATATCGACCCTATTATGAATGTAAATTCGTATTATGTATATATATATATATATATATATATATATATATATATATATATATATATATATATACATACATATATATATGTATGTATGTATGTATGTATGTGTGTATTTTTTCCCGGTTCTTTTTATCAACACGTCAAACTTCGGACTTTTTCACGCGTACGAAGATAGTCGAATAGTCGAAAAAGAAAAAAATTTGCTTACACGGATGGCAACGATACATTTCACAACACTCGTTTGAACGTGGAAGAGCGAAGTACAACGCGCAATGATAGATACGGCGAAAATACTTTTGCTGATTATCGTTTTTTTTCTTTTAATTTTTTTGACAAGCTCTTCAGTCAAATATGTATTACTTCATTCAAAAAAATATATAGATGTAATCGTTTTCAATGCTGTTCACATGCTAGAACATGTAGAGGCTTCAGTTGTTTCACTAATAGCGGATATGCTTCCGTAGGTAGGAGCACGTCCGGTGTAATATCGAAACTAAAATACTTTTTCTTAATCATTTTGAAAATCTACAAGCCATCGATTAAATTTTAATATCTATCGAGACATATACAAGGTGTCCACGTAATCGTTTATACAATCGGACATTTTATGATTGCAAAAATATAGAGTAGTTTTTTGTTTGTATAATAACTTGTTTTTAGAGTAAATCGACTTTTTAAGAAATCTAATTTATTTTCTTTTTCTGTCCTTTTTTTTCTTATAACAGTAACAATTTATTCGTAAAAATATGCAACATTGGTATATAAGCAAATATTTATAATTCTAAACGGACGAAAGATCGAGATCATATTTGATTGAGAAGTAATCTATTTTTGAACCAGAGATATCGACATTAAATAAATGGGTCATGATGAAAAATTTCCCTCGATCTTCGGATCCAACTCTTCATGATTTTAATTAAAATCGATTGAAAAATTCAATATTTCCTTATTGGATATAATACAACTTCTAATATATAATTTAAACAATTTATTGACACTATTCCTTAACAAATTGAATAAGAAAAAAAAACAGTTTCTTAGGAAACACATAATACAAAGTAAACGCGACATTAATATTCGTGAAATGAAATGCTTAAGATTACAATTTTTTTCAATTTGTTCCATTCAAATATCAATTTTTTTTTGTTTTGCGATATCGTCGTCTCAAGATAGCAAGAAAATAATATCCTTGTGATTTGTTTTTTTTTTCTTTTAACTGTCATATTTAATATCTAAAAAAAAAAGAAATGAAAAAAGAAAAGTATCGGAAGACAATAAATTTTATACCATTTATATCTCGGAACAACTTAATATTTACTAATTTAATATATTTTTCATATAATGCAGTTTAGTTTCAAATGGAACATCCTGTATATATAACTCAATTCCATTTTCATTCACGTCATTTTAACGCCCACGTATGATTCTTGACATTACATCGATCATTCGAAACGATTCTTTGAGGTCTAAATTTGTTTTCAATAAATCATCACATCATCTCTTACGACCTATATATTCCATCTCTTATACGTCTATATATGTATGTATAGGTATTGTACATAATATAAAGTAAGAAGAAATAGACGTAAAGAGAACCGCGAACTTTGACGTAACTGCGATTTCACGACGGCATTCGTGAAATAAGGCGGAAAATAAAGCCGACATTTATTAACTAAAATCCATCGGAACGATCATCGGAAACGTCATAGATTCAATATGTTACAATATATTTATTACGATCAATCTACGATTAATTATTTAACAATATTTCTTAAACAACTTGTTAACGTTTCTTAAGTCTACGATACATAATCGAGATTTCAATTTTCTGGGTAAAAAATTTTTATCTCCGAAAAAATGAATAATGTAACTGTTCATTCCTTTCGTTGTGAATGCCACTTAAATAATGCTTGGCTCGACGAATTTTTTCCGTCTGTGTCGCGTTGTGTTGCGCGTACGCTTTACGAAATGAAGAGGGAGAAAGAAAGAAGAGAGAAAAAAAGAAAGAGAAAAAATAAATGAAAAAGAAGAAGAAAAAAAAAGAAAGAAAGATGAGAAGGAAGATGGAAGATGAAGCGAGAGACGAGCGGGGACGAGAGTTCTTATTCCACTGTTTTGCAAACGCACCTCATCGACTCCTTTCGTTTGGTCGCATCGCGACCTCGTTACGTGTTTCCTGTTTTTTTTTTTTCCTTAACAACAGCGAGAAACAAAGGGAGATTACACCCTTTGGACGCTTATTTGATTCAGTTTATTCCGAATTGTTAATACGATCCGAAATAAGGACATTAACGATCTCTTCTTTGTTCGCTAAATATGGCGACATTTATCAGAAGAGCTATTTTTCCTGCTAAAAGACGATACAGTAAGTCCATTCACCTTTTCTTTCCTCTTTCCTTTCTTTTCTTACTTTTCGTTTTCTCTCTCTCTCTCTCTCTCTCTCTCCCTCTTTCCCTCTTCCTCTCTCTTTCTTTTTCTCTTTCTCTCTCTCTCTCTTTCTCTCTGTTTCGTCATCTCCTATCGATTCATTCCTATACGATTAAAACAAATCTCCGATTTCCTCTTTGTAACCTGTTCGTTAACATTTATCCCCGCGCCTCGACGTGTATCTCGACTTAACCTAAATTTCATATACTACATATTTATATAACGACTTTACTTTGAGCAAGTTCGTCTCGACGCGTTTGAGAATTAATTCGAATTTAAGAAAAAAAAGTAGAAAAAATAGAAGGGAATAGGAAAATTTATTTGATTTAATCAACAGATATAATATTCTTCTTTAGGCGAGTTAGAATATTACACAGGTCTGATTATTCTCTCTCTCTCTCTCTCTCTCTCTCTCTCTCTCTCTCTCTCTCTCTCTCTCTCTCTCTCTCTCTCTCTCTCTCTCTCCCGCCTACCCTACTCTTCTATTCTCCCATTCAAAGAACGAAGAAAAAGTCAATAAATAGTTAATTATTATCTATTTTTAAGCTAAGTATTTTAAATGATATCTAATTACGTCCTAATATAATGTTATATATATATATATATATATATATTTCCTTTTTTCTGTTTGTGACCAGGCAAATCTCCGTTCTTCCCGAGTCTCGATGAACCAACCGGTACTCTCTTGGAGGATCCAAACGCACCAAGTCAGCTCGATGGTGTTGGAGTCGGTGTTGGCGTTGGTGTCGGTGTTGGTGTTGGTGTCGGTGTCGGAGGTGGAATAACCGCTTCCCAAGCGGCACCGCTTTCTTCACCGAGTCGTAGCAGTCCTCACAGTCAGGGTAGCGAGACCGGAGAACGTTTCTCTAGGAAAGTCTTCGTCGGTGGGCTGCCACCGGATATTGACGAAGGTAAGTGTAAGAAAGTTAAAAAAAAAGAAAAAAAGGATAGCGACTGGTCGTGCCAGGTTTAAAAGATTTCAAGATTTTATTGACATAATATAAAATATTTCGCTGTGCTTTTCTTCCTTTTTTTTCCTTTCTTTTTTTTTTCTTTCCTTTTTCTATTCTTTTTATTCAATCGATCATTCACCTTATATCTTATGAAACCATATACAGACGAAATCACAGCCAGTTTCCGTCGTTTCGGTCCCCTAGTCGTCGATTGGCCGCACAAAGCAGAGAGTAAATCTTACTTTCCACCAAAAGGTTACGCTTTCCTACTTTTTCAGGTATTTATATATACATTATCTTTTAATATAATAATAAAAAAAAATAAAATGGAATCTTGTTAATGGGAGGCCTCGTTGAATTTAACGTCAAGTTGAATTTAATTTTAGGACGAAGGCTCGGTACAGCAGTTGATAGATGCCTGCATCCAAGACGAGGACAAGCTCTATCTCTGCGTGAGTTCGCCGACGATCAAAGACAAGCCGGTACAAATAAGACCATGGCGGCTGAGCGACGCAGACTTCGTCTTGGACGCCTCGATGCCCCTCGATCCACGAAAGACGGTATTCGTTGGTGGCGTACCACGGCCATTAAAGGCCGCTGAACTCGCTATGATCATGGATCGACTTTACGGAGGTGTTTGCTATGCTGGCATTGATACCGATCCTGAATTAAAGTATCCTAAAGGTGCTGGTAGGGTCGCCTTCAGTAATCAACAGAGCTACATCGCTGCGATCTCAGCTCGATTCGTGCAACTCCAGCACGGTGATATCGACAAAAGGGTTAGTCGTTTAATTCATATTCTTATCCAAATATATACAATAGATTGCTTCGATAAAAAAATAATCCAACTTTGGTAACCGATGTATTGATCGTTCAAGAAAACTCTCCTTATATTCTCTGTATATTATTTTTAATCTATCGTACGTCCTTTCTGTAAATCAGGTCGAAGTAAAACCGTACGTTTTGGACGATCAGATGTGCGACGAGTGTCAAGGTCAGCGTTGCGGTGGCAAATTC